AAGAGGCGGGCAAATGGGCGTCGCTCTGCTGTACAATGGGTTACAAGTGAGGCACTGTAATGGATGGTGTTAAATTTTAATTCAATAATATAATTTCATTGTAAAAGAAAAACGATTCTCAGCGGGGACGGTCAGTCAGCCTATGATATTACTAAGTATATTTAATGATATTATTGTGAATAAAGTAATTTATATATTATAACCTAATATGATAATAAACAAATAATAATTATTCAACTTCACCAGTTACCGTATTAATAATAACAATATAAATATAATAAATAATATCCTTATCTGACAAACCACTCAGCTCAGAATAGTTTTTTGTGTACAATGATATTATTATATCATTTAATTCAAATTTAACACCATCCAATACAGTCAATCCACTTTAAACTTACTGTACAACACAGTGACATCCACTTAGCCTTTTAGATTCTGAGCGGAGCGATGAATGTATTGGTTTTACAATGATGTATGTTTTTATATTTTTATATTTTTATATTTTTATATTTTTATATTTTTATTTATATTTTTGTGTCTGTCATCACGTTTTGGGACAGTAAAAGTGCTTCGATTTTCTTCAATAGTACCTTTTCTGATAGGAAAGTGAATCTAGTTGGTACTTTGGGGGGTCAAAAGTAAACATTTTCCAGTAGTTTTCACAAGCGCCGGGAAAAACAACATAAAAATTAAGGAAAAACGGGAATTTTTACGCAAAATCGATTTTCCAAAAAATCGAATTTGGTTATTGGTGTAACTTTAAAACAAATGACCGTAGATACATGAAATTTTCACTGGTTGTTTATATTTGCATTTTCTATACACGATAACATTTTCAAAATATTTTGATTTATTTTGAACTGTTTAGGGACATTTTCATTTTTCATTTTTTTTTAGTTTTTTTTCTAGAAATATCAATAAAATTTTATTTGTTCGTTGCGAAAGCTTGAAAATTTAATAGAAGGCTCCTAATATGTTGTTTCAAAGGCAGATGAAAAATATTAAAAATCCATAGTCACAATTTTTTTTTATAAGCATTTAAAGTTCAAAAATTGACAAAATATGGAAAAATCACGAAAATTAGCAAATTATTTTGAGTTAAGAATTCGTAAAAATTTTTCTTTTTAAATCTAAGATTTGAAAATGAAACACAAGATTCCTTATAAGATTATCTACCTTTATCAATAAAAAAATCTCTACCGGACAGTCAAATTAAATTTTTATGAGCGTTTGAAATTCAAATTTTTACAACATTGGATATTCACTCGATTTCTCATGTAGCGATTTCCTTATTTTGTTGTAATTCAAAAACGAACAACCGTAGATACATGAAAATTTCACTGAATGTTTAAATTAGCATTTTCTATACACCATACAATTTTGAAAATATTTTGACTCTTTTTGAGCTGTTTATGGACATTTACAGCTTTCAATTTTTTTTAGTTTTTTTTTCTATAAATATCAATAAAGTTTTATCTGTTGGGCCAAAAAGTGTAAAAATTTAATACAAGGCTCCTGATATATTGTTACAATATCAGTTGAAAAATATTAAAAATACATAGGCACGATTTTTTTTTATAAGCATTTAAAGTTGGAATTTTGACAAAATTTATCAAAATCTCAAAAATTATCAATCGTTGGAATTAAAAAATTATAAAATGTTCAGTTTTTATAACTAAGAGTTGAAAATTTAAAACAAAGATTCTCTTAAATAATTCATACTGTAACCAAAAAATCTAAAATATATATAAACACACTTATTTTTTACAGACATTTTAATTTCAAATTTGGACGAAATTACATATTAAAAAACCTAGAATAACTATTTTAGTTATTTTGTTGTGATTGAATAATATTATTCGTGGGTACTTGAAACTTCTAAAGTGTACTATTATATATCTATGATAGTATCACGGTTTTTGTTGTTGTATAACGCGTTATAAGTATCTAATGGATATTGTGATATGATTAATTTGGAATTTATTATAGGTACCTATTATAGGTCAATTTTTTGTTTAATACCATAGATATGTATATAATATGTCTTATACATAGACTGACATACCGTCTCCGCTCAGAATCGTTTTTCTTATACAATGATATTATATCATTGAATTCAAATTTAATACCATCCATTATACAGTGACCCACTTGTAACCTACTGTACAGCAGAGCGACACCCACTTGCCCACCTTTTTTTTTGTTAAAGCTATGAAAACTTATGAGAAATCTTGTAACACATTATCAAATTTTAGAAATATTATACATTTTTTTTTATAAATTCATTACTCAATAAAGTTTACAAATTGTTGTTATTTTGACAAATGTTGTAAGAATTCTAACTTCAGACGCTCATAAAAAAATATTGTGGATTTACTGTAGACTTTTTTCCTAATTTACATCAACAACAATTTGTGAGAAACCTTGTACTAAATTTTCAAATTTTTTGACAGAGCAAACAATTGTATTGACAAAATTTAAAAAAAATATAAAAATTGAATTTTCCTTATGCCTATAAATAGCTCAAAATGAGTTAAGATAAAAAGTATACCAAAAATATTACTGTTTTCCATAACTTTTTTTTTGTTTTTTTCTGACGCTTTTGAAAACTACTAGTCATTTTAAAGTTTGGTCTCTCAAATATCCTACTAGATTCTCTTTTTCACCAGAAAAGTTAATAGAAGGATTATTTTACACGACTACTTATCTTGTAGGTACACATACACAAAAAATGAAAAAACCAATTTATTGTAAAATCAATCTACAATCATCGCTCCGCTCAGAATCTGAAATTTAAAAAAACTTTTATAAAGCTACAATGTATGATGAGAGTGGAGTAACTGGCCCATTCGCCCCACCATATCATGAAGACGCTCCTGACCTGCAGTCAGTGTCATATGGTTGGAAATAGGGTAGAGGGGGGGGGGGGTGATCTTAGCAAAGCTCACTCTGAGCCATCTTAAGCCCTCTCTAAGATGATAGTAGGTATGTAACATAATTTTCAATTTTAATGTACACACGGGTTTAACCCATACTGGTAATTTTATTGTCATAAATTATGCCAGTGTTCTATTATAATTCATAAATTTATATTATACAGCCACGGCGTTTCAACAACTGTGGACTACGTACTCTTGGCAAATGAACGAACGATATGAAGGCAAATTACCACGAACGGCGTTCGAATGTTGTGCCGACTGTTGCAGATCGGACGTTGAAAAAGTACCACTCCGGCCTCCGACTCCAGGACCACATCATCGCCGCCGCGCTCCACCATCCGTCGCAGTTCACGGGTCCGCCGTCCACCCGACGACGGTGTCGCCGCCGAACGCTAACCGTCGGTCACCGGCGGTTTCGATGGACGCGGTCCGCCGGTGGTGGATGTCCAAACTGTCAGACGCATTACGGGCGATAGCGTTTTTCGCGACACTGGCCACCGTGGCTTCGGTGCCCATACTGATCGTGGTCTACCGAGGCCGGGCCATCGGGTGGCTCATGTCGGCCGTGTTTCACCAGGACGGCGACAGACGGTCACCGCCGACGGTGACGGTGGCCAGCCACGACAACGACGGCGACACCGCTGACCACCACAGGCAACATAGCTTCTTCCTGTTGAACTACACCAACAGTGGCGAGCTAAGCAGTTGGAAGGCGATCGTGGCCGCCGCGTGCGCCACGTTTGTCCAGCTCACGGCCATCGTGGCCGTCCATCGTGGCTACAGTAGCGTAGCCGAATGGCTCACCAAGTACTCATATCGCTCGACGTACAACCCTCGGTATCAGAGCCGTTACACAGTCTACATGTCTTGCTTCGACTCCGCCAATTATTATTCCAGCTTGGTTTACATCGCTTTTTTCAAGGTGCGTAGTGAAACAATCGTAGTAGGCGGGTACCTACTACCAGCTAAATGTTCTACTTCGTAGCTTATTTGGTATATATTCGCTGATATCTGGACCTAAATCATGCGTCGTGTACCTATAACTTCAAGTAGTAACTATATGCCAACAATAATATTTAATATCTTGTAGGTAAATAATATTATTATGTGAGCCAAAAAAAAAAAATTGTAGTTACCTAGGTATATTTGAATTAGAATTTTTAATTATTTATTAGATATTATTTGAATTTTTATAAAAAAATATCAAATTATAATTATAAATTAAGTTTTATTTATTATTTTTGTATAATTTTCCATTTACGCTGATTGTCGTGGTCCAGACAAAGAGATTCGAGTCTTCGAGAGCCACGTGTTAGACCTTGCCTGACTTAGGATCATCATAAGGTGTTCTTTGTGAATTTCCTCATAAAGTTAACTTCATACACAAGTACTCATATCACACTTTCATAGTATCTTATTATAGTAATTAAAAATAAATAAATAATGTAATGCAGGGCCTTGAATCAACGCAACAATATCCACCATTCACTAATAGGGCAGAAACAATACCTAAAGGTTAAATTTCATCATTGTCAATAATTTTAAAATATTTTCGTTCTTTTTAATTTACCTAATAATTTAACTGTTTATTTATTTCAATACAATTTTTAAAAAATCTATTCAAATGTAGAATGAATATTTCGTTTTGTAATTTATGCAGAAACTTGACTTGACCGAGCTACACAAACATAATAGTAATATTATGCCTATAACTACCTATATACATAATATTATAAAGGTTGAACGGTCAATGTTATCTATGATGTTTACTTAGGGTCGCTTCGTGACTGGACACGAACAACACGCTGATAGTTCGTCCAGATTCACGCATTTTTGGCCCATTTCTATGATTCGGAGTGTAATGCATCATATTAGAGAAGACGTTTGTGATCCCGCGGCTGCTGGAACGGGATGCGTGCCAGAGCTGTGTACCCAATTGGCCATTATAATGGTGGGCAAACAACTGATAGACAACGTGATTGAGTTGACGACGCCGTTAGTCATATGAACATATTTGTAAAATTAATAAATGTCAATAACTATATAGTTGTTGAATTGATGACTCGCAGGCTGGCATTGAATGTATGGCGCCGATGGCGAGCCAAAGAGAGCCGCCGTCGAAATAAATTACATGGAAAACTGCCGGACACTTCTATCGAAACACTCAGACACCCGAAACAATGGCAGCTCGACTACCAGCTAGAAGATACTGGATCGTTGGGCCTTTACCAGGAATATTCGGAGATGGGTACAAATATAGAGTAAAAAGAATTTTACAAAAACACCCACATAATATTTTAATATATTTTTAAGTGGGGCACCGAGGCTTAGGTACCTACTAAATTAGTGGCCAGGTTTAAGAGGACGCCAAACCCGCATGTGTTGTCTCCGTCTTACAAATGTACAACATAGCAAAAACTGTTTTGCGCGGGACAACTTTTCTCGCACCATATTTGTTGTAGAACTACCAAATTTTTACAGCATTTAAAGAAGAACTTTATCTGTGCAACAGGGTGCTCTTTTTTTTCACCATCCAATCATTTGTTATAAGCAAATGAAAAAACCAAATGTTTAGAAGCAAATAACTTGTATTGTATATATGTTATTTAAAATATGGGAACGCTGTTTCACAGATAAAGTTCTTCTTTAAATGCTGTGAAAATTTGGTAGTTCTACAACAAATATGGTGCGAGAAAAGTTGTCCCTCGCAAAAGAGTTTTTGCTATGTTGTACATTTGTAAGACGGAGACAACACATGCGGGTGTGGCGTCCTCTTAATGCGGTTTCTATGGTAATATCAACTATCGTCCTTGAAGATTTCACTTTGTTTACGTATTTAACGGATAGAGGTTGGGGTGTAAACTGTAAATGTATTAAATGTATTATTATCATGGGAATTACTAATACATTTAAAAAGAAAGTAAAAATATATACAGATATTAATATATTATTATAATATTTGTGGAGGTTAAGGTAGGTTGGAAGGTAATGTATTTATTTCTTTGATCTTGTTCATAATGAAAGAGGGTTTTTAACCATCACCTACCAATATATCCTTATATAAATAGTGGGCTCGTATTATCAATTATCATTATCATATAATTTGGTAAAAGTACCTTCATATCCAACTAAATTAACCATTTAGGGTAAGCATGATAGATAACACGAGTTAACACTATTTTTATTTTGGTGGGACACGATTTATAATAATAATAATAGTTTATTCAGTAGAATAAAACGGGCCGAGGCCCAATAGTACAGAGCAAAGTTTGAATACAAGTATAGAAAAATACAATATTAGTAATATTACAAGCAACAAATATCTTATAGGTATATTAAGTATACCTTAGGTATATTAGGTATATTTATTTCTTGTGAATTTACCAGAACCAGCTGAGTTGTCAAATTTCGGCCTGTAAATTATTATGGGTTAGAATACTTATTACCTTTGCACTCGGAGTGTAAATGATGCACTATTAAAATGCATTGATTCTTAAATTTATGTTATGTATATTATTATAGTCATTCAGTACGGATTTGTGGTCATGTTCACAACGGCATTTCCACTGGCTCCGTTGTGTGCTCTTTTAAATAATGTATTAGAACAACGTTTAGACGCGTTCAAAATGGTAGCAGCTCAGCGACGTCCAGTTCCTTCCTACTACTGTACTAACACAAAATATATTAATAACGTCACTCGAGGTCACGTAACATGTTGCGATAACTGTAACAAGTTGTGCACGTGGATACGAGTGTTGAAGATTATGTCATTAATCTCAGTATTGTATAACGTAAGTAGTATTACACTAATATAATATTATACTTGTAAGTTGTAACGCACTTGTTAGTTGTTGGATCAGCTGGAAGCTTTATTTTAAATAGGATTTAACCATTACAAAAAATAATTTTTACTAATATTAAATTCAAGCATTTTTGAAAATATATATCCCAACTTCATGTTAACTTAATTAATTCACTTTTGATTGGTCGTCCGTATTTATCTATATTAGGCATTTATGATTGCATTCACCAGTGACCTGTTACCCCGATATGTGTATTCTCAAATCTCGACAGGAACGTCGTCTTCGTTGGACGGCTACGTCGCTTGGTCTTTATCCTCAAGTACGTCAAACTTCACTACGTTATCGTTCAATGTTGATAGAGTTATGTGTTATTTATAATATATATTTGTCTAGAGAGAAATGTGACAGAATACTACTACGGAAAATTAGAAAACATAGATGGACCTGAAACATGTTGGTACAGGGGATACGGCGCTGATGCTGGTTCAGAGCACAATGACTACAGGAAATGGCAAGTGTTGGCTGCTCGATTGGCGTTTGTCGTGATATTTGAGGTACGCATATTAAATCGAGTGCACAAGATACACTTAGTAAGGTATATAAACGTCCCTTTTTGAATTAGCGTTATTTTTTCGTTTACAGTAAATATTTATAAATATTACCCGACGTAATATTGCCATTTGCTATACATTTTTATATGACTTACATAGGTCGTTTAAAGTTTGATGATAAAAATTAACAATTCATAGAATATAATTTAAAATAAATTATACACATATACATACGTCCTACAATATTAATAGGTAGGTATACCTACCGTATAATAACATTATATCATACTAGTGACAAGTCATATCACTACCTACTTAAAATAACAAAAGTTAAGTAAGGTTACGGAAAATAAATCTGAATGAAAACGAAGTATCAGCTTAAGATATTTTATTTATTTTTTCAAATTTGACTTCCCAAAAGTATAAAAACTAGATCCAAAGTTGTATACACTCTTTCAAATACCTCATCTAAACGTTTAACGTTATTAGACTGGACAAAATAAAAATAAAATTTTACCTATATATTTTTAAACCCTTCTCCCACCATTGAAATCTGCGTATGCAGAGCCCATCGAGTTATACAATTTTACACTGTAAGGTCTCAGAGTATACAAATTATAGATGATAGTCTAACAGAGTACAGGTAATGGTTCAGGCACACTTCAAACCATCACGATACAATTATGTATATGAAGACGAATCGCCCCCTATTTTTGTTCTTGAAACCTTTTGAGCTCAAGTATTATGCATTTGAGGACCCTATTTACGTATATGTGTATTATGCTGGGTGTGAAGTTAACACTACAAAGTTTGAAATTGAATAACTTTTAAAATAGGTTCCAAAAAATGTCCAACAACGTCCAACAAGTCCGAGAAGAGTTTGTTGGAATGGTTTTAGATTGTTGTGCTAACTTTGTAGTGCCAGCTTCACGTAAGTCACGTTGTACCTATAGATTATGAGAGACGAGAGATGGGGGAATTAAATCGCTAACGAAATAGAAAAAAAACACATAGTATAGGTACCTATAAGTAAAATGCAAGAAGCACAAAACGTTTAAAATTATTAGGTAGGTACATACTCAATTGCGCTAATATACTGTGTGCCATAAAAACCGGATGGATTTTATAAAGCAAAAAAACTCAAAAAATGCACCAAATTTAATTTATTGTACTTCTAAAATTCGGTAATGATTCAGTTTATGTATCGATGTTTATGATGCTGGTTTTAAAAAAATGTCTCTACTTATATCGCACGATGATGTGCTTAAGTATTTGTGTAACGTATAATATCATCTTAAGTGGAGACAATGAAACTCCATTGGTAAAATGTTTTCTCCACAACCTCCCCTCTTCCACGATTAACACCAGATCAAAATCCATCCTTTTATTACAGCACCCTGTTATGTTGTAAGTATAGGTATATGGTTTTTTCCAATCAAATTTATTTTCACATGCTTTATAGGACGTAATCTCTCTTATTCAGGCCTTTTGCATACCTACCAAAAATCGAGTTGTACAACCTGCCATGAGCTGCATTTCATAACCTGTGCAGCTCCAGTATAGATATACCTAATACAGTCGTCACTTGATAATTCGAAATTCAAGGGACAAAGCTAAAAATTCGATTTATAGAGGTTTTCAATTTACTGAGTGCTCGGTAATGACAATTGTTATACATTATACATACATTATTATACATTTATTATTTATTATTTAATTTACTACACATTTATTTTGACATTTAATAATATTTATTTGTATATATGTCATTAAAGTAAATAAGTCAACGAAGTAAGATTTTTTCACTATCTTCAGTTGCCACAGTCACTATATTTTTATCGGCGATCGACAAACACTTTACGGAACTCATATTAAGACCAACTACGTTTTATTCGATTTCATCAACAACTGTTTACCTATCGGCTATTGCAAAAGTTTATTTTGTTAAAATTATATGATTGAAGTCGAATAACCACCGTCAGACATTTCGAATTATCGAGGGAACCGAAATCTGCATGTATTTTCTTCTAATTATAGAGGTTTTCTCAGGGGACCATGGGTTTAGTTCGATTTATAGAGTTTTTCAAATTATCGAGGTTTGAATTATCGGGTGACGACTGTACATTTATATGCAAATGTATACCGATTACATCACACGCGTGTGTCTCGACAGCATTGCGTAATAGCATCCATCGCTGCCTTGGTGTATTTCATTCGGAGAAGGTTCCCCAAGTACAAAACCCACGCGGAGCCAAACGCCGACAATCCGTCAGGTGACAGATCTGTTGCAGGTACGAGGGTCGTCACTGGCTCCTGTGGCTCTTCGTCCTTAATCTATGCGGCGGATGGCTTTTTGGCCAATTCACACGACAAGAATGAAGAAAAACGGTCTCGTGCGTTCGACGTAAATCCAGTGGATGTGCCGTCAACTTTGGTAGTAGTCGACATGGAAAACGACGATCAAGAAAAATGGACGAATCACGAATACTCGAAAACGAGCCAGGATTCACTACGTTTTGCAGCGACTTGACACGCGTACTTGCTATGATATATTATTATAATATATTATAAAAAATGTTTCTGTAAATTAAACAGTGAAGACCAAAATTGTTTACGAATAATCCTTAATATTATATCAAGTAAGCACAAAGAAAAAGTTTTTGACCCGATTTACGTCACATACCTGCATGTGCGTGGAGATTATTGATCCTCCGGTCCACCAGCTATCTACCGCGAGCTTTTAAATAAATTCGATTTTGGCTTTTCCACAATTCGATTTTGGATTCACATCTGTTTGTGACTATGACATTATGTACTATAATTTATAATTTATAATACAATTTATAACTCATCTCAGCAATTGTATATTTATTTATTTACGACAGTGATTTTTAAATATTTTGTCTTTAAGAAAAACTATGAATTATTACAAATTTTTTTAGCCAAGGTAAGTGGGTAAAATTAGTGTGTTACGTAAATTATGTTTGAAAAGTAGTAAGAAAAACATTATGTGCTATATTAAATATTTTTATTGAAATTACATTATCTTTACCCAACATTATTTTTATTACGTTACGATACTTTTACATTCAAAAAGTAGGGCGATACTTTTTTAAAAATTAATTACAAAATCAGTCTAGAACGACAAATAAGTAGTAACAACTTAATAAGTACTTAATGGTAAAATTATATAAATTATACAATTATTATACTATACTAGCTGATTCCGTGCACTTCGTTGCCTGTTAAATGTATCAACTCTATCTTAACTTTTTCTTCTAATTCTGATTCGCAGCAGTACATTTTCAGGTAAGCAATCTACTTGCGGTAGATCGCGGACTCCGTGCTGTTTGTAAGTAAGTGTACTATTTAACTCTAAAGTATACCAATAGTTTGTCGTTTTTACTTAATTCCACCAACCTACGGTGGATTAATATCATCAATTTATACAAAATCGAATCCTTACCTAACAGTACTAAAATCCGATGAATAAAAAAAAATACAGACTAAACTCTGGAACTACTTATCAGTTCTACTTGTATATAATATATAATATTATATATTATATATATATATATTACATATCTATGTGTATATGTATATTGAAAAAAGATAATAATACAAATCAACAAACATGCACGATTAACCAATAGCAACCAATATATTATCGGTGGATTTTCTTAAAATGTTCTTTCATATAAACCTTCTCCGTGAAATACTCTTTCGTTTAAAAAAAAAATCAAGAAGATCTGATAAGTAGTTCCAGAGTTTAGCCTGCATAGAGATTTTACTTCATACTAAAACGCAACATTTTTGAAAATCCTTTCTTATTGCACGGTGAAATATGAGAAGAACCTCTATTCCAAATTTTAAGTCCGTACGTTGAGTAGTTTTTGAGATACAGCGATCAGTGAGTCAGTGGTATTTGGATTTTATATGTATAGATAACTAATTATTGACTAACATTATCGGACTTTATTTATGCCTAAAACCTGCTCTGTGATATCCTCTTTCATTTAAAAAAAAACTGCATGACAATTGGATAAGAAGTTTCGAAGCCAAACCGTAACAAAGATTTCCTCTTTTGCTTGATTTCAGTTTTATATATATAGATTATAAACATTGTATAGCTGCAGAATACTATTACCTATAGGTATAATATTAATGGTATACAAGGTTAATAATTAAATGTTATATAGTTATGAACAAAATGTGTAAGCATTATACAGCTTATTTGGTGATTGGTGAGGTATACCTAACCATATAACATTGAGGTAAGTACTAGGTAGGTACCTCGTACCTATATTAGTAATAAATGTAAAATAATAATATTATTTATTATTTTAGTCTGATTTACTAATTATAAGTCATAATTGATTTGAATTAAATTTTATTTTTTAATCAGAACTATTTTATTTTCCACTAATAACATTAATTCCTGAAATGTATAATAATATTGTTTATTATTTTCTAAAAGCCAAAAAGTTTCGGAATCGTTATTAAATTTAATTGATTTCTACTTCAAATATCTTAGCCTCTTGTTTATACGTTTTGTCATTTATAACTTATTTTTTTAACGTCGAAAATAATGCATTAGGTGCACAATATAAATTACTTTTAAAAAGTAATTTCGTAACAATTAAGTTAATTTAAATAAAATGTAATGAAATTAGTAAGTTACTACCTAAAGCGTTACCGACTGAAAAAGTAATTTCGTTACAGTAATTTTGTAATTTGCGTTAGGTACCTACGTTACTACCCACCCAACACTGCCAATTACTGAATTAGTATACTTAAACTATAATATACAAATACCTGAGTATTTTTATTTTCTATCCCTTTTTTTTTTTGGTACAAGGGGATTTTGTAAGTCTTATCATATAGGATACGGGAGAGCCCACGACACGTCCCGGTACTAAACATTTACCGACATTTTATGATAAAACCAACATAGTTTATAGGTCTGTTACTCCAACGCTGTCAATTTAATTTCAAAATTTTTCAATATTATGTATTTAGGTAAATAACTAATTTATTTTAAAACATTTTTTGCAACCAAAATAAAATGCTGTACACCTCCTCGAACACAAGAAAACGCGAATTCTCTATTTCCGTGCTGCAGTAACGTTAATTGGTCGTGAGGCAATTGCCTCATGAAACACCCTATCACGCCGTCGTTAACCGCCAGCACTCCCTTTGTCAAATTTCGAACAAATAAAACGTACAATAATACCTACAGTATTATGTATTTTATTTTGTACAACTTTGTATTACCAAAAACAAATTGTCTTCAACATCAAAAACATGATAATTTGTCTAAATGACAAATAAATCAATTCGAAACTAATAGGAACCTAGACGACATTTTTAAATGAAAAAAGTTTACTTTTCAAAGAAATCATTTATAGTTAGTAGGTAAAAATACAGTAACATCCATTGCAAAATAATATATTATATATTTACTACTATTTACTAATATTTTGTATAGTTATATCAAACAAATAATTATATGAGGAAGAAACAATAATAATAAAAAAAAATAATGATAAAAAACAACAATATTATTAATACAATTTTTTATTGTTTTATTTTTATTATATTGTTTGACTTTGTCTTGAAAATATTATTATCATTTTCAAATTTTTTTTTCATAATAGTTACAGACTACAGTTATAATTTAAAAAGTGGCGGGTGGAGTGGCCGAGCGATCTAAGGCGTCGGTTGCGACTCAGCCGTCGCTGGCTCGATATCTTGGTCACGGGTGGCATTTTTCTTCGGGCAAGTCACGGTGTCTGGAGAACAATTGCCGCCATCCCCCACCCGGGCTTGGCAGATACCTACGGGTGCCCAATCAAAAATTCTGCCAAACCCAACACACACGTCCCCCCCCCTTCCGACATAAAAACCTACAAAAACCATACAGCTAATGGCCATAGTCGCCGGACTTAAGATCAACTAAAAAAAAAAAATTTAAAAGCAGGTAAGACTTTACTTATATTAAATAAATATGCATGTTCAGTAAATAGTCTTATTCGAATTTACAGTAGAAAATAGAGAAAGGAAACAAAAAACAGAAACCAACTGCATCATTGACAATGAAATATTTAACTTTAAACATAAAATTAAAAATTTTCCTACATGGAAATAGTACTTATAAGATATAGGTAGATTAATAAAATATATAACATCCAAACATTATCGCTGTATTTTAAGTAAAGACTTTTCTACATCACATTTTGGCCATCCTCTATCAATAATTGATAGAGGATTTGGTGACTGTTGTACCTACTATAGAAAAATAATAATATGAATAACACTGTAAGTATCTAAATTACTAATTACTAATTTTCAATTAGGTTGTTCTAATTTTTGTATTCAACCCATAATTAATCATGTTTGGGTATAAGTTGCAGAGTTTGGGGCAATATGGTTCATTAATGTACATCATGCCATCATTAAGATACGAGCTTATAGCTCAGTTGGTATACGTATCAGATCTTAATATTATTATAGTTATTATTATATTATAATTATTGAATTAAGCTGAAATGAATAAATAAAACAAAAAATTAACGTTAGCAACCTAACTGATTTTATAACTTAAACTATAAAAAGGTGGGTAAGTGGATGTCGCTCTGCTGTACAGTAGGTTACAAGTGGGTCACTGTATAATGGATGCTATTAAATTTGAATTCAATGATACAATATCATTGTATAAGAAAAACGATTCTGAGCGAAGACGGTATGTCAGTCTAGGTTTAAGACAAATTATATACATATCTATGGTATTAAAAAAAAAATTGACCTATAATAAATTCCAAATTAATCATATCACATTATCACAATATCCATTAGGTACTTATAACACGTTATACATCAACATCAATAACAAACCCTGATACTATCATAGATATATAATAGTACACTTTAGAAGTTTCAAGTAGGTACCCACGAATAATATTATATAATCACAACATAATAACTAGGTTTTTTAATATGTAATTTCGTCCAAATTTGAACATAAAATGACTATAAAAATAAACTGTGATTGTATATTTTTTAGATTTTTCGGTAAGAGAATTAACTCCTTACATGGAATCTTGTTTCAAATTTTCAATCCTTAGCTATAAAAACTGAACATTTTATAATTTATTAATTACGATGATTAATAAATTTCGAGATTTTGAAAAATTCGGTCAAAATTCGATGTTTAAATGCTTGTAAAAAAAAATTGTGCCTATGTATTTTTAATATTTTTCAACTGATATTGTAACAATATATCAGGAGCCTTGTATTAAATTTTTACACTTTTTGGCCCAACAGATAAAACTTTATTGATATTCATAGAAAAAAAAACTAAAAAAATTGAAAAATGAAAATATCCGTAAACAGCTCAAAAAGAGTCAAAATATTTTCAAAACTGTATGGTGTATAGGAAATACTAATATAAACATTCAGTGAAATTTTCATGTATCTATAGTTATTCGTTTATGAAAAACAACAAAATAAGGAAATCGCTACATGAGAAAT